AATTTTTTTAATAGTGATTGAGGAACGCTCTCAAAGCTTTTACAAGGACAGAAAAGCCTGGGTCATCGGCCGCCTGACACCCTCTCATAATTTTAATGGCTCTGTTGAAGCTGAAAGGCACTTTCTGCCTCGGTGGGGGTTGTCTCGCTACCGCCTGCCAGAAATATATTGCACTCTGGTTAATTCGAGGAGGGTTGTCTACAAGAATGTTGCGCGTGGCAAACGAACCTGGCGCCTTCCAGAGGCTAAAGCAGTAACCGGGCGCAAACGCCTTGTGAGCTACTCCATCATCCTTTCTTCTGGAATTGCACCCTAACAATCGCTGCAGAAAATCTTTTTTTCAAGAATGCAGGAGAGAAATCACCTTGGTTTGCTTAGCTGTTCCCCCATCTGGCTTCTTCTCTGCGGTGTTTTGGAAAGACCTGATCAGTCATCTGGGATATGTCCCCTTAAATCTTCCTTTTTTGTGTAAAGAGTCATGGTCCTGGGACAGAAATATCAGAAGCCCACCTTTGCTTCCAGCCATTCTTGGGTCAAAGGGGTCCCTGGGAGTTATTCTTCGTGCCTTGGCCTCCAGCTGCATCCGGCAGCACAGCCAGGGACCTTGCAGGACCACGGACAGTTCCTGGTGAAACTGGTACCCTAGAGATAGGTACTGTATGTAGAACAGAATTGCAAATACAGTGGTGCCTCGCTTAGCGATGTTAATCGGTGCAGCAAAAATCACTGCTAAGCGATTTCATCGCTAAGCGATTTTAAAAAGCCCATAGAAACGCATTAAAACACGTTTAATGTGTTCCTATGGGCTTAAAAACTAACCTTATGTGAAAATCCTCCATTGCGGTGGCCATGTTTGGTGCCTCTAAAGCGAGGCAAAACAGCAGGTGGCCATTTTGTTTAGCCGGTGGCCATTTTGCAAACACCGATCAGCTGGCCAAAAATGGGGGCTTTGCGATGATCGCTTCCCTGTGATCATCGCAAAGCGAATTTTCCCCATTGGGGCCATAGAAAAGCGATCGCTTTTGCAATCACAAAAACAGCATCGCAAAGCGATTTCGCTGTAAAACGGAGCGATTGCTATGTGAGGCACCACTGTATTTATTGCTCTGTTGCTCTACAGCAACCCCAAGACAAGGATCTTGGGGTTGCTCTACAGCAAAAGCTGAATAGGAGCCCACAGCCCATATAAAGCCCATTCCTTTATATACAAAGGAATGAATGAATAAATAAATAGATAAATAAAAGGGGCAGCTCCAGAAATGTTTGATGTTATCGGTTATCCTTCTCTGAACTGGGCAACTGTTATGTCGTTGGTGGTTCAACAAAAGGGAGAAAACACGACTTCTAAATATAGATGTTTGGAGAGCTGCAAAAGGGGAAATATATCCTGCCTCTTGCATCCATTTATCTTCCCAAGAGTACACCATGGGGAGTGAGTAATTAAACTGTACACATCCCGTTGCTATGGTGCTGGCGCCGGCACCTGCATCCATCATCTAGGCAATGAAGGAAAAAAAATGGGTCACCTATTTGACTCTTCCCTCCATTTTTTTTCCACAAGAAAACTCGTGAACTCATATTTTCCAACTGCCATGGTTCACCCAAAAAAAGACCTTGTTTTCTCCTCTCTGCGGCTGATAAATGGGCACCTGGATTATTGTGCTTTGTGGAGGGTTGGGTATCTTAGAGTAAGTAACCACATTTGTGTAAGTTTTTAGGGTTCAGCTGTGCTCAGATACCTAGAATTTAAATTCTCAGTTAAATTGTAGACTTCCTTCCTTCCATTCATCATGAGCTCCCTTCCTTCCTTCCTTCCTTCCTTCCTTCCTTCCTTCCTTCCTTCCTTAATGAGCTCCTTCCTTCCT